TTATTGCATCTTATCTCTACAGCCAACGACTGTTAGTTGTGGGTGGTGAAGGAGTTGTAGGTTTGGCCGCAATTCAGATTTGAGATGTCACAGTGTACGTAAATCACTTTATTTTCTTCGCTATATTAATTTTTATTATTTTATTTTATTTTATTTAGTTTTAGTAATTATTGTGATTTAGTTTATTTGTATGCACATATTTTTGTACATCACCTGCAAAATTGTTTTGTGTTGTACGAAGTTAATATTACTTAACTTCGTACAATTTTTTTTTTCAAGAAAAGCTTAGTTTCCCGTTTGAGAATTAGTTGGATTTCGTGCATGGATGCGAAAGCATGACTGCGGTCCAATTAATTCTTGAATTGTCCCATTTTTTGGACAGTTTGGGAATGCATAGTTATGTGTTGTAATTTGCGGTTCATGGATTAGGTTTCGATAATGGAAATTTTGGTAACATTTCCTGATGTTCTTCGAGTACACGGTGGATATTATGTATCTACGGCGTGCACTTGAAGAACTATAAGGAGATGCTGCCAAAATTAACCCATGTCGAAATTTAATCCATTGGAATCGTAAATTACGGCACATAACTGTGCATTCTTGAATGGGATAGAGACCTTACCGGAGGAATAAGGTGACAAGACAATAGTTGAATTTGTTGTAATTCTTGTCCTTTTATTGGGATTGCAGACAAAATGGACAGACAGTGGATACATAATCATAATAGATGTGATGTTGAGTACTTGGATGGAATAGAAAAGTTCATTGAATTCGCAACTACTCATAACATAGGTTCAACTCATATCCGATGTCCGTGTAGGAGGTGTAACAACTCAATGTGGGAGACATTCTCGAATGTTCGATTTCATTTAGTAAGAAATGGGATGATAGAGACGTATACTACTTGGTATCATCATGGAGAACGATTAGACCAAGCTTCGTCTTCATACGTGACACGAGTGGAAACTGTTGAATCTAATGTGGATCCTAATGAACAAGTTATGAATATTCTAAATGACGTTTATCCATATGCCTCGAGTAACACCAATCAGGAAGGGGGAGATGACGGTTGTCCAACCATGGATAGTGAGGCATTCAAAAACTATGAAAAACTATTGAAAAATGCGAAGCAAGAATTATATCCGGGTTGCGAGAACTTTTCGGTGCTCACAGCAATTGTGGAGTTGATGCATGGCAAGATCAAGTTTCGTTTGTCAAACAAGTGTTTTGATTATTTTTTGGGAGTTATGAAGAGGATGCTTCCAAAGGAGAATTGTTTACCTGAAGATCATAAAAGTGCCCAAAAAGTGTTGAAGGGTCTCGGATTGGGGTATGAAAAAATTCACGCATGTGTAAATAATTGTATATTGTTTTATAAAGAGAACAAACAATTGGATAAATGCCCTGTCTGCAATGAGCCGAGGTTTAAAATGACATCACAGAATAGAAAGACCAAGATTCCACAAAAAGTAATGCGTTATCTTCCATTGAAGCCTAGGTTACAGCGATTGTACATGTCGATGCATACCGCAACCGACATGAGATGGCATAAAGAAGGACGAGTAAATGATGATGTTATGAGGCATCCTGCAGATGGAGAGGCATGGAAAGCATTCGATCGGATGTACCCTGATTTTGCAGCTGACCCGCGCAACGTCAGATTAGGACTTGCCACTGACGGATTTAATCCGTTCGGGGTTTTAAATCAAACCCACAGCACTTGGCCGGTTGTCGTATTTCCTTATAATCTGCCGCCTTGGAAGTGCATGAAAAAAGAATACATGATGTTGACTCTATTAATTACTGAAGATCCAGGAAAGTCCATTGATGTTTATTTGCGGCCGTTGGTTGATGAGCTAAAAGATTTATGGGAAAACGGTGTTTGTACGTACGATAAGTATACTGGGCAGATGTTTACCATGCGAGCGGCAGTGATGTGGACAGTAAACGATTTTCCCGCATATGCAATGGTTTCTGGGTGGATGACTAAGGGTTATTTGGCATGTCCAATATGCAAGGAGAACGTAACATCTTCTTGGCATGCAAGAAAAGTTTGTTATCTTGGTCATCGTAGATGGCTTCCTTGGGACAACGAGTGGCGTCAGAATGATAAAGCTTTCCATGGCACAAAAGAGACTCGGCCAAGACCAAGAGAATGGTCCGGAGATGAGATTTTGGATCAATTAAACTGTTTGGAATTTGGTCATTTCGGCAAAGGGGTCAGTAAGCCTAGACCAACTACACATCTCAACTGGACGCACAAGAGTATGTTATTTGAGCTCCCGTACTGGTCAAAGTTAAAAATGAGACACAACCTCGATGTTATGCATATTGAGAAAAATGTGTTTGATACTTTGGTCGGGACAATTCTAGACATTGAAGGAAAAACGAAGGACACGATCGAAGCTCGCCTCGATTTGGAACGAATGGGCATTAGGTCATCCTTGTGGATGAAGAAAGTTGGTGGTACATTGAAGAAAGGCCATCCTTTTTTTACAGTTAAGCCGAATGGGAAAAAAGAGTTTTTCAACTTTATTTCTTCTGTAAAGTTTCCAGATGGGTATGCTTCTAATATCTCACGTTGCGTGAACATGAGGGGGTGTAAATTTTCAAACATGAAGAGTCATGACTGTCATGTGATACTACAACGCCTTCTTCCGGTTGGTATTCGACACTTATTGCCTCTTGATGTGGTGAAACCAATCGTGTTGTTGTCGAGATTTTTTTCGCAATTGACTGCAAGGTGTTTGAGGAAGTCGGATGTTAAACAATTGCAGGACGACATTGTGAACGTTTTATGCAAGTTCGAACAGATATTTCCCCCAGCTTTCTTCACAAGTATGATTCACGTGATGATTCACTTGCCAGATGAGGCATTGCTTGCCGGACCAGTGAACTATCGATGGATGTATCCAATAGAAAGGTACTTAATTAAGCGTCTATATATATAACATATTCATGATCAACGAACACTTTGAATTATTTGTAGCATACCTTTTATTTGTGCAGATATCTTGGTGAGTTGAAAAAGTGTGTTCGAAACAGGGCAAAGCCCGAAGGATCACTTGTGGAGGCATGGGTCGCATATGAGTCACTTACTTTTTGTGCAATGTATCTTGAAGATGTTGAGACAACTTTCAATCGTCCTCAACGCAATAATGACGGTGGTATCAGAAAAGAGAAACTGTCTGTTTTTGCCCAAATTGCACGACCATTCGGCGATCCTGTAAAAGGTGAATCATTTACCAAAAAGGACATGGAGATAGCACATTGGTTCATACTTAACAATTGTGATGATGCTTTGCCATACCTTGAAGAGCATGAACAATTGATGAAGCGGGAACATCCTTCACATTTATATGCCAAGAAGCACCGTGACTTGTTTCCTTCCTGGTTTCACACACATGTAAGTTGTATGTGGTTTGAATTGAGCATATTTTCCAACTTGTTCATGCCCGTCTTTAAATTTGGTTACAGTAACAGGTTAACTTTTTGTATATGTTATATTAGATGAACAAATTGAAGGCCTTGAATTCACCCTCTTACGATGAAGAATTATATAACTTGGCGAGAGGACCGCTTCACGTTGAATTGTTCTCAGGTTGTCATGTCAACGGGATCAAGTTCTTGGGGGCAACACGTGATGACAAGTTGTCCACTCAAAATAGTGGTGTTCATGTCCCGGGTGCGGGCGACAGTGAAGACATTGATTTTTATGGCAAACTAACTACTGTAGTACAATTGCTTTACAAAGACAGGTGTCAAGTGATACTATTTAAGTGTCTTTGGTTTGATACAAACCCACATAACCGAACAAGTGTTAAGCGAGACCATGGTCTACTATCAGTAAACACTACGAGACATTGGTACGATGAAGACCCATACATTTTGGCAACAATGGCGAAACAAATATTCTATGTAGACGACCCTAAAGCCGGCAATGGTTGGAAAGTTGTTCAGAAGATTGATCGAAGAGGGCTATATGATATTCCAGAAGTAGATCATGATGACAATGACGACAACGTTGCTGACCAACAGTTATCATCTTCGATAGAAATTGGTGAAGAAACACTCCGGGATACTAATATTGTCCAAGAACCGTTTGACGTACCTGGAGTTCCCGAATTCGAAATATCAATTGACCTTGGTGATCTGCCTCAATACAATGCACTGGAAGAGGCAAACGAAGATGAAGACGAATGGGAATCCGAAAATGATAGTAGTGAGGATAGCGGGAGTTATTATTGTAGTTCGGATGAGGATTAATATAAACTTGTAAAGGATAGCGAGAGGATACACGCATGTTTCGAGTTGGCTTGGATGTCTTCGAGGTAAAAAAACCACACCTAATTCCTTGTTGTATTCAACCTTTTTCGAACGCTATCTCTGATATTTGAGTGGTTTGTGAATGAAGTTGCATTAGGATGAGCCTTACATGAAGCCTGGCCTTACCGAGTTGAAAAATGTTGTTGTGGTACCTCACATTGCTTCCGCTTCCAAGGTAATTACCGTCCATATTAGTTCAAACACATTAGGGAAGGAGCTTTCTAATTTTAAGAACATAAAGATTTGTTACCTTATCAAACGAGGAGCTTTCTGATTTTAAATACTCGTCCCCTGATTTTAACCTTTTTCCTGTTGATTTTATGAATGTGAGTTTTTAAATTGCTACTTTAAAAAAACCAGGGGATAACGGTCGACCCCATTTTTCTTACTGCGGATCATGTTCTTGGGATGATTTTTATTAAATTTTTCTGTATATCTGCTTGTCATTTTTGTTTCTGTGACAAGATTATCATGAACTGCTGTAGAGATGTTCTTATGTTATTATGACCAAGTGTGTTATGCATTTTGCTCTTGGCATCCAAAATTGACAAGATTTTTGTTCTTGGTGATGTTTGATGACTTAGTTTGCTTTAAACGAAATGTAGGACACAGTTGTTCAAGGATCGCTTGTGTTAGTAAAGTTAGAAGGCAGGGTTCATTACTAGAGAGAGCATATGCCTGGGAACAAGTACAACGGTAATTCAGCCCACATCCCACCAACTCGAGTTGAACGGCTCTTGAGAGAAAGGGAGCTAAGGAAAAATAACAAGGCCTTGAACTTGAATGAAACATTTGAACCTGAGTTGCAGTTAAGAGAAGATGAAAACTCAAATGCTGCCCATGTTGAACGATTCTTGGAAGGGGCTGCAGCTGCAAGGGCGCTTAATGAGGGATACGAAAACCAAGACCGGAGGCCTAGCAGACAACGACTGTTGGTTGTGGCGAACAGGTTACCTGTCTCTGCAATTAGAAGAGGTGAAGATTCATGGTCTCTGGAGATGAGTGCAGGGGGTCTGGTCAGTGCACTTTTGGGTATGTGGTGTTTTAACTCTTCTTTAAATACTGATAATCCTTTTTCGAAGTGTCTGTTCCTGTGTGTATCATTTTAATACAGGGGACAAGATTTTTAGTTGTGTTGATATCCTTTTCATTTTAAGATTATGAACCTAATTTGTACTGCATGATTTTTTCCAAAGGTGTAAAGGAGTTTGAGGCAAGGTGGATTGGTTGGGCCGAGGTAAATGTGCCGGATGAAATTGGACAGAAGGCGCTTACTAGAGCTCTTGCTGACAAGGTTCAAAATTTTGTCATTCATAGACATGGATTCAGCTCATTTTCACTGATTGATGATGTATACAACTTTCGGTGTAAATGTTCATGAAATTTTAAAATGGTTGTTTTGTTCCTTGCAGAGATGTATTCCAGTTTTCCTTGACGAGAGCCCCGCAAAACAAATGGTTGTTTTACTCAGAACCAGAGCCCCGCAAACAGCCTTGAGCTGGTTCACTTCACTCAACATCTCCAGGTGTGATTCTCTGTTTCCTGGATGAATTACTGGATTTTGCTTCCTGGGTTTTGTTGTAAATGTTTAAAAAATATTTGGGTTGGTGTTGCTTTGAGGATTATATGCAATTTTGGATTTTGGGTTTTCTTGTTTTGTTGATATCTGCCTTTGTGGTTCAAAAAAGTCGCAATCTTTTGCTCTGTGTGATCGAATGTTTTGGTTTGTTTTTGGATGATGATGAACTTGATTTGTTTAGGCTGATTCATCGATGCCGATGATTTTTGTAGACTCGGATAACTGGAAATATGTGTGTTTTTTTAATCATCGTGGATGGTTTGTTTTGGTCTGCAGTTATGAAAATTTCCGTCCTTGTTTTGTCTTTAATTGGATCGATGTTCCCATGTCATCAACCTCTGTAAAATGTTTTGCATTTGGCTTTTAACTGAAATGTAGGATTGGTGGCCAAATTGTGGTGGTCCACTTATTGACCCAATTGCCCTTTAAGTTGTTTTGTTTATTTGGTCCATGTGAAAGCCACGGGGTGGTTTTCCTATTGTTTTAATTGGCAGCAACTGCTGCATTTGTTAAAGTAGCCGAAAGCAAGAAAGAAGAAAATAATGAAGGAACATCATGATGAGGAAGCATCATGTTGTTTGTTGAATGTTTGTTCCTTTGTTTGGCTATAGGTGGTGCTTTCGGCTTCTCTTTGAAACTTGGCACCCCATGTGCTTTGGCAGAGAGCAGTGGGCAGAAAGCATAAACAAGCATCCAAGGGGAGAGCATTCGGCTCTCCCATGGGAAAAAGTTGAACATTTTATATTAAGGCTTTGGTTATGCCTTTGGTTGTGGGGGAGCGGCAGATGAGAGAAACCAGGGAGAGCATTCGGCTCTCCCATTTGAATATGAGCTGCTCCTTCCCACCATTTGTAATAATCTCATTTTGTTAGTAATCACTCAATCAAAGATGTTGGTGCTACTTGTGTAGCTTTTGGGAGAGAAGGATTTTGATATGTGTTTCTTCTTCTCCATTTGTTTCTTTGAGAGAGTGAGAGCTATTGGTTGTATGTGGGATTTGGGTTTGAGAGTTAAAACTCTATTTGTAATCTCCTTTTGATATTAGTGGAATTTCCTCGCCGTCTCGAAACTGGATGTAGGCTTACGCCGAACCAGTATAAATCCTTGTGTCTTTTTGGATTATTTGTCTTGTCATATTTTGCTGTATTAGCTTTGGTTTCATATTTGAAGCTTCTGCACAACATGAAAGACATACTGTACTTGTAAATTTGTGTAATTGTCGATGATAAGAGTGGAATATCTGTATCTGATGATGTTTCTGTAGTAGCATTTGTTATGATTGAACAAAAATGGTGGGGGATTGGTTTTAGGCGGCCATATTCCTGCCGTATAATTGAAGAATTTGACAATTTTTGTATGTCTTACTTGTAATGGCGTTTCTAGCGATAATCTTTACAGTTTCGGTTTCCCCATTTTATGGCAGATCTATTCATGGGGTACCCTTTGCAACCGAAGAAGTGGAAGAGATATCGGGTTCACAGCCTGCTGAAGTTCTCAACTTGGGTATGTTCACACATTTTAGCAGTATGTGTCATTTGCAGCTGAAATTGGTTCCCATGAAGTGCTCTGCACTCAGAACAGTCATTGGTCTTGGAGTTATAACTGAAGACTAAAAACATGAACAATTTCCTTGCATCAACTTTTTTGATAGTATTTCCTTTGTTAACTTTTAATACAATGGTGTGTGGACCTCTTCATTTAAACTGACTGGGAAAAAAAACTTAAGGAATGAAATCTATTAAAAAAGAAATGTCGTATTTTTTCAGTGCAGGGTAAATGGAAGAACACTAATAGATGGAACACAATTTGGGATCCTTTAAATGGGGAGCCATTCATTAGAGTTTGTGAAGTTGATGAAACGGGAATACAGGTATGCCTGCAGATTGTAGTGACCGCAAATATATCTTTTGCTATTTATGACCGCAACTATTTTATTTTTAATTGTTGAACTGGTATTGCAGCCGTTTGTGGAGAGCTTGTCCAGGTGCCCGAAACATGGTCTTCACAATCCGTTCAAAGCACCAGAGAGGTTTGTGTTTATTATCATTCTGTTCCTTTATTCTCATTCATTTGTAGGCATCATGTGTTTCCTTGGATTTCACAAATAGATATCATATCAAGGCATATAATTTCAACAACTTTTCTGTTAGAGTTTGATAGTGATATTCTTTAAAATTTGAAAGCAAAATGAAACCGATAGTCCATTTTTTTCAGGTATCTTATGCTTGGGGACATATCTGCAAAGGCAGGTCACATGCTTTCCTTGCCAAAGGTAACAATTGTACAGCAGACAGTATTCTTGTTCTTTTACCTTTTTCCTGTATTTGAATTGAGACTTATGCAGTTCAACCTTCTGACATATATGGTAGTTTCGTTAATAATTTTATGATTGTATGGCTGTCAGGTTTCTGATTTCTTCACAAGATTAATACAAAGGGTTGCTCCAAAGAGTTACCATCAGGCTTCTGGTGAAGTTTATGTCACTCAAAAATTTCTTGAGAATTTCTCCAGCGATCAGGTACATTCAGCGCAGTTGACCTTTATGTTTTCGGTGTATATATGAAATGTTACTGTACTCGTATACCTTGTCCCACATGGTATAGGCGTAGAATAACATTTCATTTATATACTCTCGGTTTAAGCACAGTACAATTCCACTGCTGTAATCAAATTCACATAAAATCCTCTTTCAAGTTTCGTTACTATCTTGGTTAACACATATGTGGCAGGTCCGCTTCCTTGCAAGATCTTTTGGGGTGCCTGGAAATCATCTTGGACAGCAAAGTCATGGTTTCCGTTGGCCTTATGGTCCTGTAAGCATCATCTTTGAACATACTTGGTTTTTTTGTTTGTACCCCCAAAACCTTAAGCTCTTAGAACAAATTTTGTTATTTTCATAGTTGGATATGATAAACGACTCGTTTTGCAGGTTGCAATCATTACTCCCTTAAATTTTCCACTACAAATTCCTGTACTTCAGTTGATGGGTGCACTTTATATGGGTAACAAACCAGTCCTCAAAGTTGATAGTAAGGTATGCTAGGCTAACATTGTGAGTCTAAATCCATTGTTTGATCTATTTGAAACCCTTTATAGTTAGCTTTTAGATACTTTTTTCTCTTTGCGATCTCTGCTCGTTATAATTTAACTGGTGAGCAACATTTTTTTTGTAGGTAAGCATTGTTATGGAGCAAATGCTGAGGCTGCTTCATTACTGTGGGCTACCGACAGAGGATGTTGACTTCATAAATTCTGATGGGCAGACAATGAACAAGCTACTATTAGAGGTTGGTTCAATGTGCAAATAAATTATTTTGAAACTGTGCAATAATCTCTGGAAGAGACCGCTCATAGCTTTCATCCACATATTTGCGTTCCTAGAGGTTACACTACTAACTTATGACGTGTTGATTGAATGAACATTTTACTTCTATTATGTCAACAGGGAAATCCACTAATGACCCTTTTCACTGGTAGCTCAAGAGTGGCAGATAAGTTGGCTGGTGACCTGAAGGGTCGTGTTAAGTTGGAAGATCCAGGATTTGACTGGAAGATTTTAGGGACTGACGTTCATGAGGTTTCTTACGACAATTTTATGTTTCTAGAGTATACAACTCTTTCTTTGTAGAGTCACGTCTGTTATTGATTTATCCGTTTCCATTTCTTATCGCAGGAAGACTATGTTGCATGGGTCTGTGATCAGGATGCATATGCTTGTAGTGGTCAGAAGTGCTCTGCACAATCGATGCTCTTCATCCATGAGGTAAGACTCTCGATTTGATATCGCGATACATACCCCTCATCAAATGCCTAAAGATCGAGTCCAGAAAGGGCATCCTGATTGCAATCCTATTGCGTTTCCTCTTTGTTCCAGCGTACTACTTCACAGGAAAGTACGCTGACCAAGGGTGGATGATCTTGCTGACATCAATCTTAGGATTAACAAATGGTTATCTCACTATCTGTGTCATGACAATGGCACCCAAAGGCTACAACGTACGTAACCTGTTCCGAATATAACATATGTTTTCACGGTTTCTAATGAAATGAAATCAAAATTAATTTCTGGTTGTTTGATTTGCAGGGACCTGAGCAAAATGCCTTGGGAAATATACTTGTTCTGTTTCGTTTGGGAGGCATATTTGCAGGGGTTTGCCTTGACTGGTTGTGGCTCATTGGTAAGGATAAATTCTAAGGAGCAAAAGTGTGGGATTGAAGAAAGAAAGTTGGTCGTTTGAATACTAATTTCGTGCTTCCGATGGATTGAAGAACGATTAGGAACTACGAATTGCAACTGTGTAAATGATTTGCTTTGGGTGTATAGTTTGATATACCTTGTTTAAAAATCCATAACTTTTCATGTCATTGATTTGTAGAACTTTTATTCTTACTTGAATGAGAGAGAGATATGCAGTGTGACATGAAGATATATTGCGGCCAAACATTATACACAGATCTTACTGTAACTAAGCCGCAAATAGGCAGGAAATTTCGTTGACCCAGTCATTGACTCTCTACCGCGTAACAAGGGCATATCTGATAGAGAGAATATACTTTTGGTTATACTCAAGATTTTACTTATTGACCTTGCTAATTTTGTACGGAGGGTAAACTGTAGCACTAGTAGAAAAATCATCAAAATTTTAAGTGATGATGTTATTGACCTTGCTCAATATTCGTGTTACCAGTGCGGGAGTTTAGGGTACCTTTACAACTTTTAAATAGAAAATTAAGACGGAATATGATGGGTGCGGCAAATTTCTGTTTTTTTGTTTCTCTATGACATATCTCACACATGACTGTCATGACATATCTCACTATTTTTAAGATATTAACTTTTTAAGTTATTAATAGAAGTGGTGAGAAATTTTTTTTTTTTTAAGTTATTAACTTTTTATCACACACATGACTGTCATGAAATATCTCACTATTTTTATAATGACACACGTGACACGTGATGTATGTACGATTCTGTGAACCAGTCAATTATAATTTATACATACAAAATAAATAGATTTAAATGTACTTAATAAATATATATATACACACACACACAGAGAACTTGATTGATGGCATACGAATTCTCCAAAACTAATTTCAACGATCCAAACCGTCAAAATGGTTTGTATATGCTTGGAGATCACATCAGCAAAAAATCAAAAAAAAAAAACATTCAGAGATCAAGTAACGGGACAAAGCTTTTCAACGGTTATAAACGAAAAATCACGATTTAACGGTTATTTTAGCTCCGATTTTGATGATTTTTTATAACTACACTCCTTGACCCTATATGAATACAATGAATGAATTCGATCTTCAATTTAAAATATGTACACAAGTGGATACCACAAAATATTATGTTATACTTAATGAAAGTATGAATAATCTCTAAGTGTTAGTCAATCTATCGTTTTACCAATTCTCCAAAACTAATTTCAACGATCCAAACCGTCAAAATGGTTTGTATATGCTTGGAGATCACATCAGCAAAAAATCACAAAAAAAAAACATTCAGAGATCAAGTAACGGGACAAAGCTTTTCAACGGTTATAAACGAAAAATCACGATTTAACGGTTATTTTAGCTCCGATTTTGATGATTTTTTATAACTACACTCCTTGACCCTATATGAATACAATGAATGAATTCGATCTTCAATTTAAAATATGTACACAAGTGGATACCACAAAATATTATGTTATACTTAATGAAAGTATGAATAATCTCTAAGTGTTAGTCAATCTATCGTTTTACCAATTCTCCAAAACTAATTTCAACGATCCAAACCGTCAAAATGGTTTGTATATGCTTGGAGATCACATCAGCAAAAAATCACAAAAAAAAAACATTCAGAGATCAAGTAACGGGACAAAGCTTTTCAACGGTTATAAACGAAAAATCACGATTTAACGGTTATTTTAGCTCCGATTTTGATGATTTTTTATAACTACACTCCTTGACCCTATATGAATACAATGAATGAATTCGATCTTCAATTTAAAATATGTACACAAGTGGATACCACAAAATATTATGTTATACTTAATGAAAGTATGAATAATCTCTAAGTGTTAGTCAATCTATCGTTTTACCAATTCTCCAAAACTAATTTCAACGATCCAAACCGTCAAAATGGTTTGTATATGCTTGGAGATCACATCAGCAAAAAATCACAAAAAAAAAACATTCAGAGATCAAGTAACGGGACAAAGCTTTTCAACGGTTATAAACGAAAAATCACGATTTAACGGTTATTTTAGCTCCGATTTTGATGATTTTTTATAACTACACTCCTTGACCCTATATGAATACAATGAATGAATTCGATCTTCAATTTAAAATATGTACACAAGTGGATACCACAAAATATTATGTTATACTTAATGAAAGTATGAATAATCTCTAAGTGTTAGTCAATCTATCGTTTTACCAATTCTCCAAAACTAATTTCAACGATCCAAACCGTCAAAATGGTTTGTATATGCTTGGAGATCACATCAGCAAAAAATCACAAAAAAAAAACATTCAGAGATCAAGTAACGGGACAAAGCTTTTCAACGGTTATAAACGAAAAATCACGATTTAACGGTTATTTTAGCTCCGATTTTGATGATTTTTTATAACTACACTCCTTGACCCTATATGAATACAATGAATGAATTCGATCTTCAATTTAAAATATGTACACAAGTGGATACCACAAAATATTATGTTATACTTAATGAAAGTATGAATAATCTCTAAGTGTTAGTCAATCTATCGTTTTACCAATTCTCCAAAACTAATTTCAACGATCCAAACCGTCAAAATGGTTTGTATATGCTTGGAGATCACATCAGCAAAAAATCAAAAAAAAAAAAACATTCAGAGATCAAGTAACGGGACAAAGCTTTTCAACGGTTATAAACGAAAAATCACGATTTAACGGTTATTTTAGCTCCGATTTTGATAATTTTTTATAACTACACTCCTTGACCCTATATGAATACAATGAATGAATTCGATCTTCAATTTAAAATATGTCACATTTTCAGTAATTTTTATAATAATTAAAAAAAAAAAAAACTTTGCGCGACGCCTTAATGTGATCGTCGCGCAAAACCACTTTGCGTGACGTCAAATTGTATACGTACGTCGCGCCAGTTGTGAAAATTTTGGCGGTTTAATAGTAAAAAAATGGCGCTTTTTTTTTTTTTTTTTTCAAATTTCTAGTTTTATTTCCCTTTTAAGTTTGGATGCTCATCTTTCATCCCTCACTTTGTCCAAGTTTGGACGCTCACCTCTCATCCCTCAAATCTCAAACCCTCCTCACCCTCCTCGAACTCACTCTCTCTCTCAACCTCACCCTCCAAGAATTTTTTAACTCACTTCTGTTCTCCAAGGAGCAACATCGCAGCTCCTCCACTTCTGATGTTAGTTCTGTTCTCCAAGCTGTTAGTTCTGTTCCTCCACCTCTCATCCCTCACTTCCTCCCACATCGCTGATTTCTTTTTCGATCTCACTGTTCATCGGTTCTCCCCCAAATCAGGTAAATTTTGGAATTAATATAGGGTTTATGAAATTTAGCACTTGGAAGATAGAGTATATTGTATATTCCTCCATGGACTTGTTTGTGCTAAATTGTTGTCCCTAACCTGTTTGACGAAATGCCTCAACAGCTTTGATTAAGTTGGATTATTCCTCCATGGATTTTTATTAACTTGTTTGTGCTAAATTATTGTATATTTCTCTTTTTCCATCATGCCTCTTTGGGATAGTATTGTAGAGAGTTCGTAGCCTTGTGAAGGCTAAGTTTATCATTTTGCCCAAATTTCCCTTTGCTTGCACCAAATCCCGCTCCATCTTTGGCTACCTTCTCCATTTTCTTCCTTGATTTCCTGCGCGAGCTTCAAATGCTAAAGTTCATCCACCAAGTTAAAATGAGGTGTGAACCCCAAGGTCAGACTTTGTCAACCCATAAATCTGGGCAAATTGGTTGTGTTTGAAGCATTTTGGTTGGTTTGTAAGGAAAGGGGTCGTTTCAACTGTCCCAAAACCGTTTTTCCTTTTTCTTTTGGTTGGTTTGTAACGCCATTAGTAAATGGTATCTGTTTGGTGATTTAACTAGGAGTTGGGACTTATGGAACCTCAGTATAACATGAGGGGCATCTTTAATGGACTGAAAAAAGGGTAGAGAAAAGGATAGGAGAGGAAAACCAATAACAGTGAATTTATTGAAATGGTTGAACCGCACATGTAGAGGTTTAAGCCATTACCTGTTAGGGATGCTCTGATTGCCCTTTAGACATGGCTAGGTTAGAGGTGTTTTCTCTGATAATATTTTATGTCACAAGTCAACTTTCACTGCATTAGCCTTTGTCTGAAAATATTTAGATATAGTTACTTTGCTTGCATTAATGTCAGCTTGGTAAATTGAAACTTTTGTTTTTCGTTCTGAAATTGTCCCTGCCCATTCCTCATTATGCATCCTGATGAAAGAGAGACTAAGGCCTTTATCACAATGCATAATTAAGTTATTTCTTCACTGGGCTAGGTATGAACTTATTGAGGTCTTTACCCCATAATTTATTCAACTGTGTTATATACCTGGATGCAGTTTGGTGGTATTCCTTTAGTTTGTAGCATTGTTTCATTAAGGTGCCATCAGTAAATTTGTTATCCTATTTATTTCAGGTGCAAGATTTACACTCAATAACCCCTAATTACTTCTTGGAAGTAAGTGGTGGAGTGATTCAACCTCTATCGTACCAACAGGTTGGTTGATTTTGCCGTTTGTACTTAGTATTCGAGAGTGATCTTACAAGTTGTTGCTGGGCTATTGTCCTCATATAGAAGTCTGCATTTGCTTGAACTGAATTTTGTTATTCCAATTTTGGCATGCTTTTAACCAAGTCAAGTGCATTTCTTTTGCATATTACATGTGTAGCTTGTCGTATACTCTCTCTCTCTCTCTCTCTCTCTCTCTCTCTCTCTCTCTCTCTCTCTCTCTCTCTCTCCATATATATATATATATATATATATATATTCTATTCTGAGAGCTTTACCCTTTTTTGAATTATGTTGACCCTGCTTTTCATGCAGCCTAGAAATTATGACATTACTCTTCTTTATGCACGCCTTTCACTTAATGTTATGACATTACTCTGCTTTTCATGCAGGCTAGAAATTTTCGTTTCCCTTGTGGCCTTGTATATGTGACAGAACCAGGGTACGTTCTCTTGATCTTGTGCAATATGTTTTGCTTCCTGTTATTACTCAAATAAAAGAACTATGGCCTACGGGATGATGGTGTCAGCTTTTTCTTTCTTTTCTATTTTTTTTTTTGAGAAAAAAAGTAACAATTTATTAAAACAATAACATGAATTACAAAATATGGATAAGAAATCCACCATCTAGCAAAACTAGCTAAGACCTTTCAAGTAGATCTATATGAGAGAGAGAATAAATTTGAGAAATATGATAAGGTTGTATAGTTAATACGATGGGGTACATATTCCTGGTTTCCTACATTGTGCTTAGTTAATACGTTGTATAGTTACAATCGCATTTTCCTTTTCTAGGATCACAATTGCATTTGAGAAATATGATAAGGTTGAAAACTGTAAGAGAAATATTGATACTCCAGGGTTATAATCCTTCTTGAAAGCTTGATGTGAGTTTTTCTGTTGCATTTACCTTGTCATGAAACCCACAACATTATCTGTTGCATTTAAGAAAATGTTGTAGGATTAGTTTCTAATGTTATATTTTTATGGTTGAATAAGTGTATAGATGTCGCAGTTGATCACTCGTCGTCGGAGTGTGACCAATGCACCTCCTGCATTATCAGCATCTATGGCTCCAGCCGTGAGTGCTCCATTGATTAGCGAGCCTACACCCTTTGCTGAGGCCACTCCTACGGCGTCCCAGGTGCCCGTATCATCGACATCATCAGTGTCAGTTGAGCACCTCAGTGCACGGCGGCCTCATCGGCGGCGCCGTGAGCCGGAACCTTCTGATCACACTTCTTCGGAATCCAGAGTCGAGTGTGAGGCCTCCCATCCAGGTAGTTTTTTCTAATTCTCACTACGCTATATTTTTTTTTCATTTTAAAACTATTATTTTTATGATGGTGAAAATTTGTTGGATTGTGAAAATCTGTTGCTGGTTGTGAATTAATGTTATTTTATTATTTTAAGGTTTTGGAAAATGTTATACTATTACGGAAGGTTGTGTCGAATTTTTTTTACAAATTTAAGCTTCGGGATTTCACCATTTAAGTATTTTTGGCCAGCTAAAAAAAACACCAGAGGGCCTAGTCGAATGCTGAAGCAGTCACAGAGCGCACGACAGGCCGCCTCCAAGATCAAGATTGTGTATGATGCGCAACATCGTGGAGCAGCTACCTCACAGCAACATAGCTTCATTGCTAGTAGCTGTGGTGTTGTTATTCGAGACTATTGTCCTTTTCAGTGGGAGTGTTGGGCAGAAATTCCCGAGGAGACGAAGAGAATGGTGCGACACGAGTTGTCGGTTAGTATATTAATTTTTAGCCTTTATCATTTTTTTAATTTTGTTTACAAATATTAAAAACCAAAATATATTATCTTAATATTATTAAATTTCTTACTACTATTTTATTGTTTTTCATATTCGTAGGTCATTTATGATCTTGAGGACATATCCCTTGAGGTCATGAACTACTTAGAGGAGACCTTAGCAAATCGGTACAAAAATTGGAAGAGCACTTTTCACACGTTTTTTAAGCGATGGGATGATCCAGAGATTGCTCGCCTACATGTTCCAAGCGAGTTAAAGGACCGACCAGATGATTGGGAGTGGCTCTGCAAACATTTTACGGACCCAAAATTTGTGGTATGTAGTTAATATTTTATTAATAATTTATTATTGTTTTAGTTATTTTTTACGCTTTTTTTATTAATTTATTTCAAATAGTTGCACTAACATGTATATTGTGTGTTTAACAGAAGAAATCTGTTGCTGGCCAAAAAGCTCGTGAGTCAAAGACACTTCTCCACCATTCCGGTTCGAAGCCCTTTTCGTATAGGCTTCAGACACGACGTCAGGTAAAAGTATATTAACTTTGAAATTTTATACAATTTATTATTATTATTATTGATTAATAAAATTTTCTTACTGTTTTTTTTCTTCAGGAGGGTTCTAAGTTCCCAGCAATCGACATGTTTAAGGACGTTTACGTTCGACCTGGTCAGGAGATTACTGAGCAGTTTCATGTAAGTATATGTAATTATTATTATTCTTATATGTATGAATCATTCAAATATTATTTATATTTTGTTATTAAACATTATATGTTTTTTCTTTATTATTATAGGCTACTATGGTGGAAAAGAGCACTTCTGTTCTTCAAGAAGCAACATCGCAGCTTCCCCCGGAGACCCCGATCGAGGACGTCACGATACCTGAGGATGTAGGTTTTCAGATCATGACTGATGTCCTGGATCAGAACTTAGGTCGTCGTCGTGGCAAGGTTGTTCGGTGTATGGGGAAAGCACAAATTCGTGAAACGGGTGCCTCTTCTTCCAGATCAAACGCAGAGGTAGATGCATTGAAGGAGGAAGTGACAACCCTAAAGGCCCAGGGCGAGCAGATGAAGGAGCAGCTGAGGGTCCAGGGCGAGGAGATGAGGTCATATGCCGGGGCGTGGAGAGACCTTGTACAAGCCATACAGATGTCCGGCCTTCAAATCTCACTACCAGCACTTCATCTTGGTCGACCTTCGACCTCAGAGCCACCTCGCCCTGCTGATACCTAGTAGCTTGATGTATTAAACCTAGTTCACTTTTAGTTTTTTCTTTTTTGTTTGGATCTTGTATGTACATTTTCATATATTTAATAATTAAATACTTTTGCTTGGTTAATTAATTATTCTTTCGAATTTAATTACAATATTTATCAAAAATTAAAAAAAAAAAATTGTTTGACCAAAACTACTCCCCACTTTGCACGACGCATGGCTCCGTCGCGCAAACCCACTTTGCGTGACTCATGCGTACGTCACGCAAACCTACTTGGCGCGACGTACGCATGAGTCACGCAAAGTGGGTTTGCGCGACGCTATCCGTTAGTCACGCAAAGTGCGTTTGCGTGACGCACAAAGTGGGTAGTGCTAAGTGGGTTTGCGCGACGCCCAGAGTGGGTAGTGCAAAGTGGGTTTGCGCGACGCACACCGTTAGTCACGCAAAGTGGGTTTGCGTGACGCACAAAGTGGGTAGTGCAAAGTGGGTTTGCGCGACGCACTCGGTTAGTCACGCAAAGTGGGTTTGCGTGACGCACAAAGTGGGTAGTGCAAAGTGGGTTTGCGCGACGCACTCGATTAGTCACGCAAAGTGGGTTTGCGTGACGCACAAAGTGGGTAGTGCAAAGTGGGTTTGCGCGACGCACACCGTTAGTCACGCAAAGTGGGTTTGCGTGACGCACAAAGTCGGTAGTGCAAACTGGGTTTGCGCGACGCACTCCGTTAGTCACGCAAAGTGGATTTGCGTGACGACCAACTAAGTGCGTCGCGCAAAGTGGGTTTGCGCGACGCAGTCCATAGTCGCGCAAAGTTGGTTTGCGCGACGCACACCGTTGGTCGCGCAAACCCACTTTGCGCGACGCACACCGTGGCCGTCGCGCAAACCCACTTTGCGCGACGCACGCCCCGTGGGCCGTCGCGCAAACCCTAGCGTCTCAGACTTTGCGCGACGATTAACGCGCGACGAAGATTGCGTCGCGCAAACCCTTAGGCAACGATTTTTTACTTTGCGCGACGAAAGTACCTACGTCGCGCAAAGTGTTTTTTTTACTAGTGGTCGTTAAAATCCACCTATAAAGGCAGACATGAAACGTAGCTTCAAACAGCATACGAAAAGGAAAGAAATGGCAGCAGCAGGCCGGAGTGTGTCTGAGCCACATTGCCAGAGAATCCCCCGATATCAGGCGCCTCGCCGATTTCTACAAAGAGGTTCCTTAACTTTTCAAAAACTAAGTACTTCAATTTTAACAAGCTAATATGTGGTAACTTCATTATTAACGTGATTGAGTTGAATTTGCTATGGTACATGGTTGGTAAATATTTGGATTCGAGGAGGTTGAAGCCCCAACCTTTGCGGGAGTGAAGGTGTTATGGCTCATGTTCCCTGGAAATTAAGCTTTTCACTTCATTGTGAGAAACCCTAGTTTTAACCTTCCAGAAGGGCCATTTGCCGCTAAGTTACCTGAAGCTGATCCGGTCCATCTCGGCAGAGGCCAACATATCTGCTTCACTGTCTCCAATCTCCCGTCATTAGTCCAAACCCTCAAGGTATATATGCAATGCATTATGTATTTTATTGTTGCTGGTTGATTTTTGATAGTGAAAACCTTTTATATGGACTAGCCTTTGGTGCTAGGGCTTGTTCCTCTTTTGCTCCTTATGAGTTATAAGCAAATGCAACGTTTGATAAACTTCCGACATGGATCATTTCTACACATCCACTCACAATTTATCCTGGAGCTTTTACCGGTGTTTCTTGCGGGATATTTAAGATCTGCTTGTCTGAGAACTCTCTCTATGGGACTTTATGGTCCACGGATAGCGGAGATCTGCACTCAGCGGTAGTGACGGAGCCAGAAGTGTCGAGGCTAGGGGCCTTTAGGCTAGACTATGTAGACTTTATTAAAGGAATTAAGTACAATATAAGTAATGTAAAAAAATTATGAGGTTTCGTTGTGTTGGCATGTATAAATATTTTGATACAACGATATTTTACACTAAGAGTAAATATTGAGCTAAGCTACATAATGATTGAGCAGCAATAATTTAATATCGTAACCACTAGCTATTAATGAGAGTTGAACCTAAAATCACTCATTTACAAGGGGAGAAAAATACACATAAATGTGAGTGACATTATCACAAATAATTGTAAACTAAAGAGAAATGATGAAGCTTTAGATTTCATGGGACAACAAGTATTACACGATTATATATATATATATATATATATATATATATATGTATATCATAAACGATGAACTAATTATTGAAAACGTCATGGCTTAGAACTGCTACCAAGGCAACACAGCATATAGTAGACCTTCTTTTAAGATAAAAAAAATTTCTTTCACCACCTTCATGCAGTAAAACGGTGGGTTATAAAAGTCTTGTAAACCAACATGCTAATGCTATGGTGGGAGCTGCATGCAGAAGGGGCTTGTGCCTATCCTGGTCCTTATGTGAATCCGCCACTGCTCAGCTGTGGCGGATCTAAAGCACACACATAAATATGGTTGTTTATCTTGCATGTTTCAAAGCTAGCATGCTTGTTTGTTCTCGTTTTATTTGCTTATATTTTTCTTCCTCTATTTGACACGATCGCGATTTATCTGAACAAATTTGGTCTTGCAGGAGAAGGGAATTCAAACTTCTGAGAGGTGCCTAGATGATGGTACGCTCCTGCGGCAAGTCTTCTTCTTTGATATAGATGGTAAGATTTTTGTATCACAAATATTTTTATATACACATAAACAGATTTTTATGACTATGAATTTCAATAAGTTTCCCCATTATCATACTATGAGTCTTTGTAATTCCTTTCAGTCAAGATTTTTATTTTTTATTGTTCAACTGTTGGATGTGGGATTCAAGTATATTCTTCGACGCTTTCCTTTCGTTTTCTGAATCAGTCTTTACTCGTGCAGGGAATGGGCTGGAGGTTGCAGCACCTCAATGAATTCCACAGCACCACCGAAGGCAGTTTTCGAATGGTCGAGTGGGATAGATATGAACTAGACGATCAATAAATTTTAATTACATATATATAATAAGTTGCAAACTTGCAACGTATGCAGTGTTAATGTTGAATAGCTAATTTCAGCTTTTGGTCTTTGTATTTCCAGAAATGTAAAGGAACAAAATGGAGATGATGAAAGCTTCAAAAGAACTATTTCATTTCTTTGTAAAATGATGATTTGATTCCAAACGGCTATATTCCTTGGAATTTGACAATGATGCACAGATCCAAACCTAATGTAGAATTCCATGAGGTTGTGACACATGGTAATCTAATGGCATGTAAACCATAAGCTAGGAAAGAATCTAAGAGGTATACTTGTTATATGAGCTCAAGGAGCCATCCGACACACTACCCTCACTACTAGAAAAAAACATTTTGCGAGACAAAATAAGATTTGTCGCGCAAAGCATGATTATGTTGCTCAAAACCTTGCACGACGAAATTTTTCTTGCGCAAGATTCATCGTGCAAAGCTCATGAAGATAAGGTTTGCGTGACAAAAATTAGTCTTCATCATGCGAAGGTACTTTGCGCAACGAAATATTTCGTCGTGCGAAGGTACTTTGCGCAACGACATATTTCGTCGCGCAAAGTTTTTTGTTTTTATTTTTATTTGATTATTTAATTTAATATTTTGCGTGACGAAATTAATTGTTTGTGCAACGAAATATTTTGTCGCGCAAGGTCTTTGACTTTTGTTTTATTATTTCTCTTATTTTAATTTAATTATATTAATTGTTTAGCGACGAAATATTTGACAGAGCAAGATTTTTGGAATTTTTCTTTTTTAATTTAATTTAATTATATGGCTTTATTTTTTAATTACTTTAATTTAAATTGACATATTCAAAACAAAATTACACGTGAACAATAATGATCAAATTATCCATAGTATATATTATATTAAAATGTACCTATAAATTAACAAAGTACAATAATAAAATCCTATACAAGTCTATTGTGGTGGTGGTGGCGGGGGATATGGTCCGATAGTTTCCTAATCCTCAACTCCTCAACTTCAACTGTCAAAGTCCTGACAATTTGAAAAAACAAATATGGTCAAATAACAAAAAAACAACATAAAATGATACCAAAAAAATTGCTCCTCCCCAAAATCGGCATGCCCCAAATCCGACCCAAAACTCCACCCCTCACCCTATCCCCTATCCCAAACCCAAAATTAACTCCAAAATCACATATTTATGAAAAAAATTAAAAATTTAGGGAGAAAATATATTTTGACAAGCTTGAGAGTGAGTGAGAGATAAAGAGTGAGGAAGGAGTGCGAGAGAGTGAGACGAGAGAACTCCAATATAGATTATTTGAGTAAATGCTCTTAATAATTTGAACTATAATTTATTTACTTTAAAATGGTAACTTCATAGGGTAGGTAATCGAACACCAATTCTCGGTTATACCAGGAAATAATAAAAACTTGAACTGATGAGTGTCCTAAGCTGATAAGGGCTAGCAATCTACCAAACTGCAAGCACAAGTGATTTATATAGCGTTACAAGTCGAACTGTCCCGGCCTCTATCTCGACACGTCTCCAAAAAGCCCTACGTGTCAATAACATTCCATAACTATATATCACCGATATAAAAATCTCTCGTTGTTCCCTTGCTGCTGTAAGTATGTATAGAACTAGTCAGAACCACCAAAACTGTTGAAAAAACGTTGTTTTATCACAAAATACTGATAAAAATAATGAGCCAGGAATAGCCACGGAGGCATCAGGAGGACAAGCCGGAACAAATCAAATACGGCGGTGTTTTCTCCATCTCAGGGCAACTAGCTGACAAGCCCGTTACACTGCAAGATGCTAACATGATGCAGACCGCCGAGACCCTGATTTTTGGGCAAACTATTGGAAGAAGATTAGGAAGAAGATCTACTTTCTGTCAGTTACCTTAATCAGCATGGCTGTGTGTATGGGGTGCTATCATTTACCCTAGCCGATAGGTAACATGGGTGTGTGCATGGGGTGTTGTCTAACAACTTGAAGTATGGCTATCATTCTCACTAATTCAAGGGATTTGCTGATCTTGCTTTAGTTGTTATGTGATTAGGCGTAAATCAAGGAAGGAAGATTGTTTCTTGTTCCTTGTTTTTCTTTTCTTCCCACGCTCATATATATGAGCTATCTTTGTACTTTGTTTCAATATAATACAAAATATACCTTCAAAACTCAATATGGTATTAGAGCAGTGATCCTAATCAACCTGCTTCTGAGTAGTTTCTTAAGAGATTTGTGAGTTTTTTCCTGATTCTCTATCATGGCTGAAGAGAGTTCAGTGCATGGCGAAGAAGTTAGCTCGCATGTTGTGCCATCTTTATTTCATTTAGATGTTGATGTCAACCCAAATCAACGTCTGAGTTCTGTCTTACTAAATGAGTTCAATTATCTTCCTTGGGAGAGAGCAATCACTCTTGCCTTGAGAGGACGATCGAAACTTGGTTTTGTTAATGGTGTTATTCCAGCGCCTGATATGTCCTCACCAGATTACAATGACTGGTTGTGCAAAGACTAGTTGGTCATGTCATGGCTACTAAATTCTATGGATCGAAAGATTGCAGAAATTTTCAACTATACTGAATCCTTATACATCATTTGGAAAAATCTCAAAGAAATGTATGGGAATCAGAATAATGCAGCTCGAGTGTTCCAGTTAAAAAAGGACATTGCGGGTCTTCAACAGGAAGGAAACTCATTTGTGCAGCATCTTGGGAAGTTAACCACCATGTGGAACGAGTTGAATGTCTATCGGCCACACACCATTGACGCTGTCGTATTGACCAAGAGAGCTGAGAAGGACAAAATATTTCAACTTCTTGTGAGTTTAAGTCCTGAATACGAAGATCCCAGGAGTCATGTCCTCATGAATCCTAATCTTCCCTCATTCTCAAGTGTGTGTGCCAAGATTAAAAGAAAGAAACTCGTAGAAAAATCATGACTGTGGAATTAAAGGCAAATATACCAGAAGCTAGGGTATATCTCTCTAACCACATAACTGGTGACGAGATGGGCTACAAAGGAAAGAAATCTATTGTAAAATGTAGCTACTGTGATACTGGTGGACATACACGAGATCATTGCTAGATTCTCCACCCTAAGCTAAGGCCTAAGTCTTCAAGGGACAACAACAAGGGTTTCCCTAAGAGTTCACACAACTCACCCTACAAGGCAAATCATATCGTCACCACTCATTCCGAGGGAGCATATAAGTTTACCTCCAATCCAACCAACCTAATAAATGAATTTGCTGCCTTCCTCCACAAGAAACAAGGTTATGGAGATAATGAAGGATCAACTAATCAAGGTGACAACAAAAAACCTGCTCAACTCGGGCAATTTACTGGTTTTTTGGTTGAAAATGAAGGTGTGACACAACAAGATATTCCAAGTATCTTACAATCCTTCTCAATTGCTCTCAAAGTCGGTAATGTGCATGATTATTGGATTATAGATTCAGGAGCTACTGATCATATGACTAACAAGTTTACAAATCTACATAATTTTGAAAAACTCTCATGTCCATCTCAAGTGTCAGTTGCCAATGGCAAGGGTGCTATGGTTGTGGGGAGAGGGAAAACACATTTGATTTCTAGTGATGCCGAGTCTGAGGCTCTTTATGTTCTCTCTTTCCCTTTTCAACTCTTATCTGTTGGAAAAATCACAAACTCACTAAAATGTCTCGCTATTTTCTCCTAAAAAGCTGTGGTTTTTCAGGATATCACCACTAAGAAGGCGATTGGTGAAGGTTTTTTCCTAAATGGTCTCTACTACCTTTCCAAGCATGTCCAAACTCCTAAGGTTTTTCAAGTCACTTCAAGCTTGGTTCAAGAACAACAACTTTGGCACCAACGACTTGCACATCCTTCTGATAAAGTTCTATCCTTTTTGTTTCCAAACCTGTGCAAAGTTACAAGTTCCTGTGATGTTTGTCACTTCTCTAAGTTCACTAGATTACCTTTCATTTCCTCCTTGTCTAGGGCTAGTAATCCTTTTGAAATTGTGCATTCCGATGTTTAGGGACCAGTCCTAGAGCCCTTTAATGGATACAAATATTTTGTAACTTTTGTGGATGATTTCACAAGGATCACTTGGTTGTATCTTTTAAAATTTAAAAGTGAAGTGCTGGAAGTTTTTCAAGATTTTCATAGACTTGTAAACACACAATTTTCTTCAAACATTCATGTCTTACAATCAGATAATGGCTCCGAATATATGTCTCAAAACATGTCTCACTATCTAAGCACACATGGTATATTACAATCAAACTAGTTGTGTTAGAACACCTCAACAAAACGGGGTAGCAAAAAGGAAGAATAGAGATCTACTTGAAAAAACTAGAGCTCTTATGTTTCACTCGAATGTGCCTAAAAAATTCTGGTCACAAGGTGTTCTTACTGTTGCATATCTCATCAATAGATTACTAGCAAGATATTGAACTTCAAATCACCTTATGAGGTATTAAAAGATAGACAGATCAATTTATCCCATTTGAAAGTGTTTGGATGTACATGCTTTGTTCACATTCAAGCACCAAATCGTGGAAAGCTAGATCCAAGGGCTCCCAAATGTGTTTTCCTAAGCTATTCATCCACTCAAAAGGGTTACAAATGTTACAATCCAACAACTAGGAAAATAGTTGTTTCAAGAGATGTGAAATTTGAAGAAACCATGCCTTACTTTACTCAACCTCTGGACTATTCTAAAGAGGGGGATAATTTGCTTGATTTGTTCCCAATACCATATCCCAGTGAAGAGGATACAACAGATATTTCAAGGGACCAGATATTGAATGAGGAAAATGTTAGCAACCTACAGAATTCTCCACATGTGGTATCTGAAGAACATATCTCACCAGAACCCTCAAGTAGTCCCTCCAACCAAGAAACTGCTCATGTTCCAGCAATTCAATCTCCTACAGTTCGTCGAAATCCTCCCCGTGAAAGGAAACTTCCATCCAAGTTACATGATTATGTAACTTACAATGCCATGCACCCCCTAACTTCTGCTATTGATTATAGTAAAGTTTCATCCTCTTTTGCTACATTCCTCAGTGCAATTACTGAAACTAGTGAACCACAAAGCTTTCAAGAAGCTAATCTACATAGTGAGTGAAAAGCTGCTATGGCAGAAGAGCTTCAAGCTCTTCATGAAAACAACATCTGGACTATAGTGAAACTTCCCAAAAGGAAGAAGGTTGTGGGAAGTCGTTGGGTATCAAGACTAAGTTCCATTCAGATGGCACG